TAGTCGAATACGTAGACTTCTACAGGGCCTTCTAAGTAATGCGCGCCGGGTATAATTCAAACCTCTGCCCCCATCGGTACCATTACCCCTAAAGCAAATCGTCTCCAGGAGACGAAATTATGAGATGAGGCCAACACCACTACGGCATCACAGTCACAAGTCGCACTCTACCGTATCATGGAAGGCGGTGGTACTGGTACACTCGGCAACGCTTTATATAGTTGTGTCAGAAAAGGAAGCAGCACCATTCGAAGAAGCATACAAAGCTTTCCAACCGTCAAGTCGAGAAGAGCTCAGCCTGAGCAACAACCTCCCGAACTTTCTTCACCCCATCACAGAATCTTGCAGGTGGCACTTTGTCAACCTCAACTTGAGTAGTACATACATTACTCCGGTATAATACAATGATTGAAATATCGTGGGGAGAAGCGGTTGTGGTGATGGGCGTGACGTTTGCGGTGATTGGCCGAAAGGATCTGCCTCGGTTTGCCGGGTATTTGGGTCGAGGCGTGGGACGGACCGTGGGACTTTTGCAAGGAGCTCGACAACGGGCCGAAGCATATGCTCAAGAAACCGAATTGAAACAGTTGCATCAAGAATTTAAATCCGGCTTGAATGAATTGAGTGCCGTGCGACGAGAAGTCGATACCACCATGAATCCCTCCCGCAAAATGGTCGGTAGCCGACCACCCATTCAACTGACCCATGAAACCCATGGAGCTGCATCGGCATTATCGGGTATTCAGACCACTACAGCCACTGCAGCAACAACCAACAATATCATGGCTCAGATGGGAAATCTTGCTGCTAGAAATCCCTCAACAGGAACTGATGCACTACAATCTTCCATTCCACAATTTTCATCCCTACCACCACCAAACGCTTTGCCTGTCTCATCATCTCCAGAATTCCAATCATCATCATCATCGCCACAACCTAGCAACAATTCCTCTATTCGACAATTACCACCCGAATCACAGACGATTGGAGCCGTGGCCGAAGAGGAATGGGAAAAACAAGGCATGGGATTCCGATCACGCGCCGAACGAGGAGCTGGATTGGGATACACGGACGATCAAGCCAATGATCCTTTGAATTCCGGGAGTTCCATTCTGGCCAATGTCTACAAGCAAAATCTTATACACGATCAGTACGATCGAGTCACGCAGTATCAGGAGAGTCTATTGACACAACAACAAGAGCAGGCAGAAGATGCACCTATTGTGGGAAGGAATTCGGGAGATGCAAGCGTAGAAAAAGACAAGAGAGTATAACAATAGAATACCACAACCCCGCTAAATGGCTTCCATCTAGGGAGAGGCGAGGAGAGGCAAACGCCAAGCAGAAACATGATAGGGGGAGGGGCGTTTAATGGAATACGGCTTCATGCACATGTCGCTAATGGTTCCAGGATCTAGCTAGAAAGCAATCCATGCGAGAAGGGTTCACCAGTATCATGTCCCTCAAAAATTTCTTCTATTTTAGGTCTATGCAATCTTCTTGTAGTCGTCACTCAACTCAACAAAAGCTAGTAGGCTAGCTCTAGGGGCCGGTGTCAGTATTGCGGTGCAGATTGAAGATCGATGAAATCGGAGTCAAATATCGTGCTTCGATTACCAAAATTCATTCTGGACCCTTGATACCTCCAGCGTCATGTGCCATTCTGATCGACGCTTGATTTCTTTCTATCTTCCCTATTTATTTCGTCATGGCATAGAAGAAACCAGTGGCACCCATGAACACTATTGGAAAGCCAACGCTCACGAGAAACAGATTCTCAATATCCTTGGCTTGTTTTCCTCCCATTCCAGCGTCTTTCAGGTGGAACACGCTTGAAAAAGAGCATTGTAAGGCTCTTCTTTGGATCATTCGACGGGCAGCAGACGTTGGAGCGCTCATGGTGCTATTCCTTGTTGCTTCATGTACATGTACAGTATGTGTTCTTCGTGTGGATGCTGAGTAAGTGGCTACTAACTACTAGCTAGTGGTACCGTAAAAGTACTGTACCAGTAAAGAATGGTCGAAGATCGCTCACCAATGAACTCTATCTCTAATGTGGCATCACCGTGTATTCCGGCGTGGTTATTTTCAGGCATGTTTCATCGCTGTGGCATCGCTGCGTGGACTCCGGCACACGAGGAGGCTCACACGATTTGAACGTTGTTCGTCTCACAGCCACCATACTCATCGATTGTGCTAGCTTTCGTAGAAGCAGAACGAAAGCGAGCATGCTGGGATACCCGCCTGCGGTACGAAACTAGTCGGTGTGTGTTCGTTGTCCACGCTGATAGCTTCGCACTACGCAATCGCAATCGTGCAGGAAGGAGTTTTGGTTTTCCTCAAACTGCAGCCAAAGACGAGCACATTGTTTTAGACTTTCGTCTGGAGAATAGCCATTGTTATTGTTGTCAAAAGAAAGCAACGTCAACCATGACATCATTGACGAGTGCAGAGGTCAATGAACTTTCACTGACGGAGCTCCGAAATGAGTGTAGTAGAGCCAGGCTCGCGGTCACGGGCAACTCCAATACTCTTCGCAAACGGCTGCGAGAACTGCTCGCAGTACAAGCATTCATATCATTTCGACCTAAAAACAAGCGACAAAAGAAAGATCCTGCTGCTGACCTCATCTGCCCTATCACAAGAGAGTTGCCTTGGGTCCCTATCATAGCACAAGATGGCCGAATATATGAAGCAGCGGCCATCAAAACATATTTTGCAACCCAGCGGCAGAATGGTGCCCCAATCAAGTCCCCATACACTAATGCACCTATGGCTGATACCCTCCTTCCAGTTCCACATATAAAAGGCTTAATTGAGACTTTGGTTGAGAACGAAGCCATTCAAGGTGATGCACTGGATGCTTGGAACAAGAAAGTCAAGCAAATGCAGAAAAAGGACAATTTGCTACAGAAAGCCAATGATGGTGACAGTGAGTCCATGTACACAGCAGCACGTCGCTATGATGATGGACTTGATGGGTTTGAAAAAGACCAAAGCTTGGCCTACCAATGGTACAAAAAGTCACATGAAGCTGGCAATGTAAAAGGAACAGCTATGCTTGGGCAATGTCGTGTGCATGGATGGGGTGTTGAGCAATCTTTCCCAATTGGGATTCACTATCTCACTCGGGCTGCAGAGAATGGGTCCGATTATGCTGCATATGTGCTGGGAAAAGCCTTTGCAAAAGGACGGTATGGTATGACTGTGAATAACAAAGAAGCCATCTTCTGGCTTCAGAAGAGCTTGGGAGACTGTGCCCACCAACATGCAGCAGAAAGTGTAAAAGCAAAAGCCCAACAGTTTTTGGGTGAATTGCAGAGCCAAAATATTGCAGACAACAATTACCTGGAGTGGTCCACATAACTTCTGCCGCATGAAGGATGCGGGGCCGGTCACCAGTTCAACATGAGTTCTGCTACCTCCAACTCACCAAAGCCGCTTCGTTTACTACTCTTTGGAAAGTTCTGTCTTTTGCGCCTAATTCTCTTACGCTTGAGCGAAAGTTCTTCAAATACATAAACATCTTGGCTTCAGCCAGCCACTCTATACGTTTTGTGGTCACACTCAGCCAGAAATATCGAAGTAGAATTAATCCCGCTGCTATAGTATTTTGCACCGTTTACTACATAAGAAAGATTGCTTCCCCGCAGAAATCACCATGCCTTCTCTTCGGAAGTTCCACGTATCATGTCGCCGACGAGGCGTTTCGTTGCACCCGAGACACTGATTCCCCCACCAATTACGCCTCCATTTGTGCTCACCACGCCGTCAATTGCGTACGGCTGATCAAGTAGACGGTCGTGGGATGGTCCTTCCCCAAGAACTCTCGTGCAATTTCCAAGGGGAGCTTGCCATTCTTGTTGTCGTCATGTTGGTCTGTACCCGTTCGTTCCTGCAAATTGGCCCCATGCCGCAGCAAAAAGTCTACGATATCCAAATTGTCCGCCGCATGCCTGGCAGCTTCATGAAGAGGCGTCCACCCATTTGAATCCTTGTCGAGCAGAGATTGTGGATTGCTGTATGCCAAGTATTCCAATGTCCGAATATCGCCGGCCACGACCGCTTTGAATGGATCGAGCTGAGACAGGGGAGATAGGATTGAATATGGAATGGCGTGAAGTCGTTAGTTTGCGGTGTGAACAAGGAACAGTGTCATTGCATGCTCCAGTTATCTTTTAAAATCACGTACCAGTGTCCATCCTTTGGGATTTCTCTTTTTCCAATCGTCTACCCAAAATGATCCGGGCACAATGTAGGGTGGCAAACCGTCCTGGTTGGGACCGCATTTCGTCAAGTCATTCAAAGGACCAATGCCTTCAAAATGTAGAAACGCATTGGCATAAAAATTCCCCACCAGTGGAAACGGCCGTCCGTGAATGACACTGGCGGATTCGTAGAGAATCATTTCGCCAGGTTTCAATGTTATATTGACGGCCACTCCTTGTTGTTGATGGGTATATAGTTCGAGTGGCCAATCTTCTTGGACATCTTGATCGATATTGATAATGGCGGAAATGACCAAGTTGGTGCGATCGACGTGGGGATGCAACATGGCATGCCGTCGATAGACGCGAATGCCATAAACCGACGACGGTGCCAAACGCAGTCCACTCCATTCTTCCAATATAGGACGTGCCGCGTTGGAAATGCGTTTTCGCAATGCCTTGGTGCCACCGAGTGTCTTGTTGAGTAAGGAGACAATATCGGGGGAGGATCCAAACAAGAGATTGGACGGAGTGTACACTTCGGTAGTTTCTTTTGCAACAGCAGCGTCCTTGTTTTGCAACCAAAAGTCGTGTAGTAATGTCCATACTGGAGCGGGAGCCTTCATTTTGGCATACCCCGCTTGAGTGAAATTGACCATGGAGCCAGGTTGGTGATTGTTGCGATAGAGACGAAATTCTTCTCCTTGAAGGCAGTAAGCGTCCTTTTCACAGGCAGATAGGTATCGATTGTACAGATCTTGGTGGTGAGGATACCGTAAGGTCTGACTTGTGACGGCCCAACTGACATCGTCAAAGGCAGTATATGACGGAGTTGTTGTAGTAGTAGTTGGGTCGGGAGGGGAGACACAGGTTTGATCGTCTTCCTGTGAGCAAGTCTCATCATTGTTATTATCGGCACTAGTAGAAACGCTGAGCACTAACAGTATCAAAGCCAAGAGAAGAAAGTGTCTGGCAGTAGAGGATAACCAAGGGGCACTATTTGAAGGCTTCATCGCGACAGGGCAACGATGCAAAGGTAGTCTAGTAGGGTGTGGGCTCAGACTCTTGCTCTGGTCGTTTTGTGGTCCGCTCTCGCATTGTTGGATCTTTCCCTTTGCGTCGCACGAATGAGAATGCCAGCTGAACTGCATGGCATCGGCAGCCACTGCTTTGCCTCTAGCTTCGCCCCCCTCGCTCCTTTTAACGTACTACTAGTATCTATTTCGTACATGTATTTGTTTTACCCGGCATCGGCCAATGACAAGTTTCTAAAGAGTGGGTGCAGTGGAGTCCGAAGGACAGTCTGCCCTCGACTACAGAGCGTTGCTATGTCACGGCTAGTAGCTAGCTACCTGTAGTAGGCGAGGTAGGCCAGCATTGCGCAGCTCCATCAAGCTAAGGATGATCTTCAAAGTGGCCAGAGACCATGCCGCCCACCCACTATAGAACGATTTGAAACGCATGTGTCCGCCGGATTTCTCGGGGAAGGGCATCCGGCCTCAAACGTGGCCCGGGCGACCTACGTATCGATAGACACAGGGACAAGTATTGTCTCCTACGCATCACAGAAGAGCCGCAGTTCTTGCCCCCCTACTAGCTAGACAGCTAATAGTAGAGTACCGTAGAGCTAATCAAAGATAACTGCTGCCATGACACTTCGCGAAACTCTTTCTGTAACACCAATTTAAGTTTTAAAAACTTTGGCTTCCTTCCTGACACTACCAAAGAATAATTAGACCCAGCCACTGCTGAACGACCTAAACACATACCGTGTGCGGCCAAGCTGTTGCCATTGCCCAGATTGATTCTACAGAACCAGATTTCACAGCTATTAAACTTGGCGTTCCCTTCCATCCGTGCTAGGAGCATCTTGTGCTTCCCGGAAGTCCGTGCTAGAAGCATCCGAGTCCTCCTGACTGTTCACAAGTTCATCCAACTCCTTTTGAGCTACCACCTTGAAACTACCAGACATGTGTGAGTGAGTACAAACTCCCACGCTCTTGGCAAGCCAAAACATGGCTTCTTTCTTGTTCACAGGCAGACCAAAGTATCCTTTTGCAAAGGCTTTTCCCAGCGTATATGCAGCATAATCAGACCCATTATTTGCAGCATGAGTGAGGCAATGCATGCCAGGAGCAACTTTGTTTGTAACACCCAGACCTCGCACAAGACATTGCCCAAGGCAAGCTGTTCCTTTTACATTGCCAGCTTCATGTGACTTTTTATACCACGCATAGGCCAATTGTAGGTTTTTTTCAAACCCATTAATTCCAGCTTCAGCCATAGTAATGTCCTACTGAGTACATGGCCTGTCCATCACCACCATTGGCTCTCTGTAGCAACTTGTCCTTTTCCTTCACCTGCTCGACTTTCTTGTTCCAAGCTACGAGTTCAGGACCTTGAATGACTTTTCTATCAATCAAGGACTCAATCAAGCTCTTGTTACGTGGGACATCCACAAGTTCTGTGCCCATGGGCTCATTGGTGATATATGACTTGATGGGAAGTCCCTCTTCCTGTTGTGTCTTGAAGTATTGTTCAATGGCCTCTTTTTCATAGGTTCGACCATCTTGAGCAATCACAGCCACCCATGGAAGCTCTTTTGTGATGGGACAGATGAAGTCAGGAGTGAGATCTTGTTTTTGCCGCTTTAAAGCACTCTCATCTGTGTCATCTGTACCCTCCAAGCCGCTTGAGAAAAGAAAAAGAGTCCATGATGACACTGTACCGCCTCCTGGAAAATGACAACGAGACGGAAGCAAAGAGCACGCTTATCATAAAAGTCCGAATTGTCTCCAATTGCAACGACCTGTTCCTGATTGTGTTTGCTTGTGTTGACACAGCGCTAGCAGAGAAACGAATAACGTGCAGAAATACATAGTATGGGGTATACAGCGCACCTCTACCGGTATCAGGTTTGGTATGTACATGTAGGTTGTCTCTGTGCGAAATCCAGGACTGGTTCATTTCTCTGTGCGTGCATGACCTTTGAGTTTCGCTTCCTCTTTCGGCGAACACTCTCTTCTGCCAAAGCAAGGCTGTGTGGGCTTTGTAACGAATTCAACAAGCTAAATAGAATCTTTTGTAAGTATCATACACCGCTATGAGTAGTATCAATACACCACTACGATACCGGTAGTACGTATCCTCATCTTCGGCGGCCATCTCCAACCCAATCTACCTCCGCTCTGCTAATTAATGCATCATTCGAAACATGGCCTCCATGGGACTTCCACCGACTCCGGCGTGTTCATCGACTTCGTCTCCATCCCACATGACACGAGGGCTGTTTTTTAGCGTCTTGATGACTTGTTGGGACATGTTGGAATTGACCGTCTCGACGGTAAAGCGACTGCCCCCCTTGGGTTTGATTTTCAGTGATTCCAACGAGTAGCATCCTTGGAGACGTAGATACTGCAAGTGCGGCGCCCCCAGGACCACATCACACAAACAATCGGAACGATGAATGTAAATGTGCTTCAACATGGCAAGATGAGGACCAAATTTGACTTCATCGAGTCCCAACTTGTACGTGCGAAAGGATACCAACTGGTGGGTGGTGTCGAGCATATCTTGTACCCATTCGCAATCTCCATGGTGATGGCGGCAGTTAAAGTCTCGAAGATTGGAGCATTTGAGTTCCATGTCGCACTCGTCCGGGAGATTTTGCATTTCAATGGTGGAGAGACGAGGCGTCTTGGCGTCATTGAGGACAATCTTGGAAAAGCAGACATTTATAAGCTGTAGTTCTTCCAAGAGGGGCATATGGAGATCCAAGACAGGTTCGACCGTGTCGTCATAGAAACCATCGCCGTTTTGAATGACGAGGATGCGGACCGTGGAAGGATCCATTTCGGTAGTGAGCCGTTGTTGGAACTGTTGGGTAGTATCTCCATCGTTCCGGTTAATAGTCGCCACGTCGTTGCAGATGCGTCGTTCATCTCCCTCCTTGAGTGGCTTGACGGTATGACGTCCCTGAAAGCACCACTCGGCATGCGCCGGTTGGAAGGAAAAGTTGGTTTGGTGACGATCCTTGTTGACTTTGGAGAAATGCTCTCCACACGCCTTGCAGGAAAAACTCAATGTCTGCCCATCGGGGCCAAACGAAGAACCCATATCTTCCATTAAATACTCCGGATGAGGCACACAACAGATGCCCTGATTGGCACTTGTGGGTAGCAAGCAGCGAGTACAGGTAGAATTGACTGGAAAACAGATTTTCTTGTGCTCTTTCCAGTCCGTCTTTTGACACTCGCGGCCACAGTACCACTTGGATTGGCATTGAGAGCAGCGGGTCTTGCTGTCCTTCCCACACATACTGCAAGAGTGATGATCAGTCGTCATCGTGTTTTCCTTGTTGTTGTTGTTGCTATTGGAAGACATGGTGAATACAAGAAAAGAAAGAAGTGGAGTGTGATGATTGAGACGATGAAGGTGGTACCGCTGGCAAAGATTTTTGGGAAGTGCGGTGTGACGAGTGCATTGTGTCAAGACTCCGCGCGCTCGTTCTCGGAAGATCGCATTGGCATGAAGTATTATTAATTATCGCAAAACGCACTTTCCAGCTTAACATCATTAATGCTAACCCTATTGTTGGAAGCTTCATTTTAATTTGGATCTTTTTGTGGACGTCCTTGTTTCGCTTGTTGCCTTCGTGTATTCTTATTCAACCACCCACACAACCTTACAGTACCTTACGGTCGTGCAGTCCATGGTCGCAATGTCAAGCCTCAACATTATTGGCTCCAAGCCCCCTCAATCTTCCTATGCCAGGAATCAACAATGGTGGTCCATGCAAAGATATAGGATTGCCATGGGCGGATTCGCGTTGATCATGCTTCTTGCAATTTCTTCTTGGGGATCCGGTAGTACTACTACAACCAAGGAAGCCATGGCAGAAATGGGAGAAACGCAATCCGACGGTGTGGTCGAGAAACCATCCATCACGATGCATGACGCCGGTGGGATATCCTATTATCACTGCAAGGGAACTAGCACAGCCACAAAAGAGAAACCGTTAGTCATGCTCCATGGAGCTGCATTCACTAAAGAAAACTGGAAGACATCGGGGATCCTTGATGAGCTGTGTCAAACGACAACCACAAAACGAAGATTATCTGTGTTTGCTGTTGGTACGTACTGTATGCAAAGGGATATTTTACGTCACTACTACTAATTGGTGCAGGGTTGTCATGCTACGATTATTGATTGATGGCTACCTCCTTTGAATATCCCTCACTTTTTGTGTGCTTACCTGTGCTTCTCTGCTCCCAAGACCTCCCCGTCTCCAAAACCTACCAAGATCTGATTCAATTTCTAGAAGTGCTGAAATCCGAAGGACGAATATCCGCGCATGTGGCACTGGTGACACCCTCCGCCTCGGGCAAGACGATGATTACGTGGGCGGCTCAGGCAGCCACGGTCAAACAAACGTTGCCAAAATACATTGAACGATGGATCCCAGTGGCTGCCAATGCCATTAACATGCAACCAGAGGAGAACATTCAACGGCTTGATGGACTCTTACCCATTCTAGCCATTTACGGGGACCAGGACCGGCCGGGCAAACAAAGTTCCGAGCGACTGCAGTCGCTGGCAGGAGCCACCGTAGTGGAACTTAGTGGAAGACACCCATGTTATTTGGACAGTCCAAACGAATTTGTCACGGAAGTGGTCAAATTCATTGAAGAGGGAGGTTGAAGAACAGAATGTTGGTGGTTCTTGTGAATTGTTGCCGGCCTGCCCATTCAAAGTTTATAAGAAACACTCTGCGAAAGCGTGGTTTCGATGGATTCAATTCAATTCCGATTCGATTACGTTCATTCATTGAACAATAGTGGATAAGATATCCCGCATATGGTTGCATGCAATCGTAAGATGTCCTTCGTTTTCCAGTATGTTGGTTTGGCGGCAGGTTGGAATCTGCTCCGCCATCCACCTGGCAACCGACACTGGGACGTTGGCATCGTCTGTGCCATGCCAAAGGCACGTGTTGCAACTAATTTCTTGGAGGTCGAATCCCCAGTGACGACGATAGCTTTCGGCATCGGAATCCGCTCCTCGCACTCCCTCCCGGAATGCTTCTTTCAACGTGTTCACGAATGCCTCTTGTCGTTCTGGATGATTATTGTTGTTTAGAAACGTTTGGTCCAATGGGCACATGCCTTGGCTGCACTGTTTTGCAAACGCCACCGGATCGGTACTACTATTGCGGGCTCCATAGGCAAAGACCCAAAGGACCAACCGACGCACAAACCCAGGCCACACGCGAGGAATGGTCCAGCTCAATCCCTTGGTGGTTCCTGGCGCTTCCGCCGGCCCCATGCCGGAGACAATTCCCAAGCTCTTCACGTTGGACAGAGTGTGGGCACATGCCGCCGCATAGGGAGCACCGCCGGATACTCCCAACACACTGAATAGTCGGTCATCGTTGTCGTTATTTGACGGTCCAATGATCTGGAGGTGATCCTCTAGCAACTCCTTAACATCCGTAACCCAAACTGCTACTTGACGGCAATCGGGGTTCCAATCCGACAGACCATAGCCAGGTCGATCGGGAATAATGAGGCGAATCTTGAGATCTTCCAGGAGGTTGTCGTCGTTGGTAGGCGGCACAAATAGGTTCCACTCGCGTCGACAGAAGGGGAACCCATGGCAGTAGAGGACGGGAAATCCGTCTTTGGGTCCATACTCGGCATACCCCAACAGGCGACCATTTTGGAGTCGAACTTGATGGTCTTCCGGTCTGCTACTACTATTATTGATAATAGCGGTACTGCTAGTAGATTGCTCTGTCGTGGCGAATAAAAGGGTGACAATCAAGTTGCCAACTGATTTCCATAGCATCATCTTGCCTCTGTTAGGTAGATCAGTGAAAAAAGGTTGGATTGGAGAAAGAAAAAGATCCTCTCATTCGTGCATGCGGTGACACCACACAGGATTGACTCATTTGACTCCAGAAGCTTCCACCTGTCAACAACATGGACAACTCAGATCCGAAGACGCTCTGATTCACTCATCAATCTTTCATTTTTCTTTGGCTGTGACACCCCCCTCTGTTGCCACAAAAACAAAATCAAACCCAATTCTCTCTCTAGCTGGACAGAGAAAGGTTGACAAGCAAGCAAGATGAGACTTCCTACTCTTTTGTTGAGCATCTGCCTTGGCACTGTGGTTTCCTTCCAGGCTCCACTTGTCACGCCAAGAACTTCGTCATCTACTGCTGCTACCCAGTTGTGGTTGTCATCATCCAACAATGATGCCGATTTGGAACGCGTCAAGGCGATTATGGACGCCGAAGGCATGAATGCCGAAAGCTTGAAAGCATCCGCGGCAGCCATGAAGAATGTCAAACCTTCCGACATTGATCAAATGATGAAGGAAATGGAGTCCATGCCAGCCGCGCAATTGGAACAACTCAAGAACATGGGAATGGATCCCACCGTCATGAAGTCGTCCTTGGAAATGATGAAGAAAAATCCAGAAATGATGAAAAGCATGGGAGAAATGATGGAACAAATGACTCCGGAAGAACTGGTGGAACAATCCAAAAAGGCTCAAGAACAAATGAAAGCCATGAGCATCACGTCGGATGAAATCGGGGCGGTCGCAGCTGTGGATGCGGAACTTGAAAAAGAAGACGAAGATGAGGACGAGGAGGAAGATGATGACGAGGATGAAGAACCCATTGAACCGGATGAAAAAGTGCTCGATACCATGTTTCAAGCGGCCGAGCTCATGTCGGAACCACCCACGGGCGGAGTCACATTTGCCGGATTTTCCACAGTGCCACCCGTGGCCGTATTGGCGGCGGGAACAGGAGAAGACGACTTGACACGCAAAGAATTGACCGAATGTTGGAACAAGGGATCACTGGGGGCCACGCGAGTCGACAAGTCCGGATTCAAACGAGTATGGATGGAAGTACAAGACAATTACTACAGCGATATCATGGAAGAAGCACGAGAACGAACCCTCGTTCGACCCAAAAAAGGCAAACGAGGAGCCTCGACCAAACCCAAAACCACCACGGCACCAACAACCACCACAACCAGCGTGAGCAATCCCATGGTGGGCAATAATGTTTCGCCAGAACAACTTTCGCAACAACTCAAGAATATGAAAGAAACCGATGTGCAGGACATGTTGTCTCGCATGAGCAGCATGTCACCGGAGGAAGAAGCACGCATGAAAGCCATGGGAGTCGATCCCGCAATGATGAAGAAATCTGCCGAAATGATGAATAGTAATCCTCTGCTTCGAAAGGCATACACGTCCATGATGAAAAATACCTCACCGGAACAACTCATGAAGTCCAGCCAAATTGCACAAGAAAAATTGGCCAACATGTCCGAAGAAGAAAAGAAGAAAATGATGGAAGGATTCTAGCTGGCTACCGTGGTACCGGTACCGGTAGTAGCGGGGAGGTCCTAAAACTAAGGAGGTAATGCAGTAGTACATGTAGTTGTTGTCTACAAGTACAACATTTAGATGTCGTGGGACTACCGAGGACATACAACCGGTACTATTCCACGGGCGTCACTTCCAGAAAAGCTATCATAAAAGAGGGCGGCACGGCTCTTTTAAATTACGACCAAACGCAAGAGAATCCATTTTTAACGTGATCACCCTACGTAGACATTTGCATCCTCAGAACGAATGATATCAATCCATCGACCCGCCCGAAACGGCCAAAATCAAATGACCATGTAAGAATCGCTGGACCCAACACTCGCTTGGTCGTCCCCGTCGTCGTCTGCTTCTTCGTCTCCCCTAGATCTCTTCTTACTGTGCCTCCACTCAAATCCGATTTGATCAAGCAGCTTCTTTCGTACTGGCTCGAGCTTGTGCTCGTTGTACAGCTTTCGTTGCAGAGTTGCCCATTCCACCAGTGCCCGATCGTCTTCCTCGCCGTCACCAGGCCCTCTCAGACATTGCCCATGCTTGAGCATAAATTGCACCATTTTCTCATACGACTCCACCCACACGCCGTCGTCGATGTTGGCCCCTCGATAAATTTGACTCGGGGCAAGTGGGGACCGTCGAACGCTACTCTTTGGAAGTAACGGAGACGTGTATTCCTTTGCCGAAGGATACTCCCAAGGAAGGGGACCATCCTCGGCTTTTCTTGTTTCAAATGTGATAGGAGGAGGTGGAGGATAAGGCATATTCCAACCATAAACATTGCATCTATCCGTGTGGGGATGATAAATATTCCAAACAAACGGTTCATTGACCGCCGCCGAACCAGCCACTGTGCCCTCGGCTGTCGTGCCCGCTGTGGTGCCCGTTGGGTAATAAACGGCACCAACAATCTGTTGGTGGTTTTTTGGATGCGACTGCTTAGACACATTCTGCTCCTGGAGTTCAAGGTGGAGCTCCAGGTGTAGATTTTTCCGTGATGTACCACCATTCTTCGTTGCAGACACTGGCTGGGTGGATTGTGGGATGACTGACTCAGCACCCGCTATCGTTGCCGGGACCCTTTGAGTGGGTAGCTTTCTTGTGTGGATTGTTGGCCGAGGACCCTGCCTCAGTGAAGTCGCCGGATGAGTAGGTTTAATTGGCGCGATTGGTTGACCGCCCTTCTTCCCTGCAGTCGCCGGTTGGATGGGATGTTTTGCGGTGCTGTTTGCCTTCGTTGCTGCAACCATCGGCCGCGTTACCGTGTTGTTTGGCGGAGCACCCTTCGTCGCTGCAGTCATCTGAATGGGTTTCTTTGTAGATAGTTTTGGCATTGCCCGCATATGTTTCCGAGGCGCTTGCGATAACGTTAGATTCTTTTTCGCATGCGCCTCTGGCGCGTGGCTAGTCCTCCTTCGAGGAGCCTGCATCTGCTGTAGGGAGTATTCTTTCGATAAGGTGATCCCCATCTGGGACAGCGGCGCAGCCTTCGTCAACTTGGCTGGACGTCCGAGTTGGAGGACCTTCTGGGGCGCTTGTGCCATTTTTTGAAACTTCTGGTGAGGCTGCACTCGCCCATTCCCCGGTGCTGGCACCGGAGGGGGTGCGCTGGCTGCCCCCGCATCCTGCTCCGACACTTGCTCAACATTCACCGATGCTTGTGCCGCATTAGCTTCGGCCTTGGAAAAGTTGGATGCCAATTCAATCTGAGTATTTGCGTGCGCCTGTGTCCCATGACGAGGAGTGGACTTTGTCGAGCCGCCTGCCCCTACATTCTGAGTAAACTTCATAGTGGTTTCCGTCATTGGCCCAACATTCGAAACCATCGCGGATGCCTGTGCTGAAGGAAGCGTGGATTTTTTCTCCGTGCGGACAACGGTATGCTGTCCATTGACTTGAAAACTACCCGTCATTGGCTGCACATTGTTGTGTGGGATGACAAAACCGTAGTGTGGTACTTGGTAGACAGCAGCTGCTGGATGTGGCTGTGAATGATACGGATGTGGCTGCGCCTGAAGTGGAAGCTGCGCCGGAGGTTGTGGGTGCTCATGAGGCACATAATGCTGAAGTTGTGCCTTCGTGTATGGGGGCAGTTGCTGGATTACCTCTATTGCCGCGGGAACCAGACTTGACATTTGCTCTTCAGAGCTGGTCTTTTGAGCCGTTCGCGCCCTCGAGTGCGTGTCGGGCTTCGGCAATATAATAGGACCTCCTCCTGGTGGTGGTACTGCTGATTGTTGGTATGTTTGGGGTCCATCTGCCATTGACTCGTTACCCGATAATTGCTCTTCGACGCTTGTCGTACCGCTTGGGAGTATCTTATAGTTGTGCACTTCCCGCAGTGATTGAGAAGTCTTGGCCGCGGCTTCCTCAAACGTGATTTCAGACCAAACCGAGCCGCCTTTGTTCAGTCTCAAGAATCGACCTCCATTCTGGTTGATTCGCCTCACAATATCTCTCGCAATGTTGCGTTTGGTGAGCTTTGGCGCCAATTTGTAAGCTGCGCGATGTAATTCAATAATTCCTCGATAGCGAGCATTGCCTTCGTGGTGATTGGATTTGCCTCCGCGTCCCATTACAACTGTGTTGAGAGAGAAACACCCTTTCGTCAGCAACTCTATTTTGGGTGAGTCGAGACAACGGATAGCTCCGGCACTTACCATCATCAGGCCCAACGTCTTCCCACAACTCGTCCAACCCTTGCAAGTAGGACGAATTCACCGTACCGGTTGCTGTTTGCGCTTTCCAAACTGGGATCAACTGTACGTCTGTTTGTGGTTTGACTGCAGCTTTGGCATTTCTGGCCATGTCTTCTGCTGGCATTTTCTTGGGTCCTCGATTGGACTTTAGCAGCTGGGGGCCCTCCGGCTGCTCTTCTCGGTACCTGGCAGGAATGGACACCGAAGGCCGTCTCGACGAACCACGAGGTGGCATTGGTACTGATTTCGAGGTTGGACTTCTACTAGTACCAGAATGCTTTGTTGGGTTGCGAAATTCCTTAGGTGTCACTGCCGGAGTCTTCTCGTTGGACTTGACTGCGATCTTCTTGGCAATGGCAACCGTTCTCTCCTTGGGTTTAGCACCACCACCGGTTACATTCTTGGCCTTTGTTGCCACTTGTGTTTTCTTGGCGACTGCTACGCGTTTAGCACCATAAGCGATTATTCCCGAGCCCTTGACCGGCAAATCCTCGTCAGGAACAACAGAATCTTCGTTTAGGGATTCCATCTGGACTGATTTTGCAGCCACTGCCACGGATGCTCGTTTTATAGGCGGCGTATTCTTGACCGGCATGGGCGAGCCTTCTTTGACTGGTACATGTTCCTTCCTGATCGTCTTGGGAGCCGCTGTGGCGGCTTTGACCTTCTTGGGAGGTGCTGCTGTGGCAGTTGGTACCGTTAAAGGAGATGCCGTCGAAGTGGCGGGTGCAGTCGCAGTTGCCATAAGACCAAAACTGAAATTGAGCGACTTGAGTTGCTTTTTCTGTTTGTTAGTGAGATTCTCGGGGTGTCCTTTTAGTTCATGAACCCAATACGCCAAGTTGGAGTCCTCCATATAGTCCAATGGCACATCGGACGTTCCGAAGCGTTCCCAGTACTCAAACAGGAGCTGAAAGTTTTCTTCCCAGCCACGTGGATTCACATGCTTGACGTACTCTTCATCCTGATCCCAGCTAAAGCCAGCGTCCTTGAGCAGCTTGGCTCGTGTTTCATCCAACAAATTGCGGCGTTGTCGATGGCGCTGCTTGGTCACCCACTTGCGCAGCAAAGGTCTCTTGGAGGAACGAATCAGAAAATCCCCATTGGCCTCTCTGTATTCGAGCATTTGCATGTACGAGTCGATCCACATGTGGTTAGTCTTGTCCCATTCGGTCTGTACGTCATCTAGAACGCCACCCAAATCGACTAACTTCTGTCGTTGTACTGAGGACAAGGGACGAGATTCGACGGCGTGATGTCGTTGTCGGTATACCCAAAGCGCCAAGCCTTCCTTGTCGTACCGGAAAGGCACATTGGTGTGTCCGTGTTTCTGGTGGAATTCCACCAAGCGCTTGAAGTAATCGTCCCATGAGAGCTTCTTGACGTCGTTCGAAGTCAAGGTTTTGCGAGCCATGGCCAATGAAACAAATTTCTCTATCGTGGTTGTTGTTAATCGCAATTTAGTCTCTCTTTCGGCCCTACTAGAAGCACTACCGCTTTGTTAACACGCGGCAATTAGTCTAGGCCTCCGTCCTTTGTTGTTGACGTCCTCTCGTCCTTCTCGTGATGGGCAACAACAGAGAGAAGCAGTGCAATGATGGACGGATCTTCGTCGATGTCGAATGTCGAGAAGCGAAGAAGAAACTCGTTCTCGTGCTTTGCTGCACTTCGGGTCTCGTGCTGGCGAAGAATGAAATGTCCAAAAATGGAAACCTTGCATTGGTGCGGCGCGCGGCAGACACACGAGGTGAGACGGTGAGACACCCACGTCCTCGACCACCTGGTGCATGCGTGATGAGGCACCAAGTCGCCACAATTGGCAGTTTCGGCGGGATCTGCATAAAGTATAGGGCAACAGAATGGTCCATGAGGAGGGGGCTCTTCGTTGAGGCCATCCTTCAACATTTGGATTAACGAAGAAATCAAGAGCCAACCAGCAGAGGCAACGAGCAGCACAGCCATACATGTACAGCAAAAGAACACGTCCAAAACTAACTAGTTAATTAAGTTTGCAAGGTCCACAATCACACCCACAGAGGGAAGTGCCATAGCAGATATTTGCGCTGGTATTCACTGGCGAGACTTTACATGGTGGAGGAGCATTTCCATTCCTGTTGGTACATTTTGTCACACACCTCTGCAGGGATGCTGCCCGACAAGGATGTGTCCGTGACTACCAAGTTTTCCAGGTGCTCCAGCATAAGTATTTCTGTAGGGACGGTGCCAGAAAGGTTGGTTATTAGAGCTAACATCAAAGATGGTCAGCTCTGAGAACAGCAAACAAAGGTGAATTCTGGTGTCAAAGGTCAACTCCAGTACGATACAACACAATAGCACATTTTCTGAACTCACCAGTAAGTTCGAAGACCTCTCGTGGCAAAATTCCAGAGATAGAGTTTCCAGGCAAGCTCAGGGAGGCCTGTTGATATGTAGGTGCAAGATCAGAGTACTTGCATACCGTAACATCTTCAGATTCAAATAGGATTGCTCCGGCCTTGCTTACCAGCTTTGTCAGCTGCCCAAGCTCACTTGGGATACTGCCCTGATTTGTCCAGTCTTCAAAGCGAGGTGTTTCAGTTCTGTCAGCTTTCCGAGTTCAGCTGTATCAAATGAGTCTAGGAAGTGAGTCGTCCTTGTTTGGAACCACCTTCCACATGTCATGCCAGCATGAATTCTTACATGGAATTGACATTACTGTCCCAACGTTTTGGCTTGATAGTACAAGTACACTAAGCTGCATTGCGAATGACTTCTTGAAGGATGTATTCAGTTTCCAGCCCAGAACACTCATTAATTGCTAGTGTCTGCAGGCCAGGCCATTTGTAAAGCTCACCTGGTAGTGAACCTAGATTGAAGGACAACATCAGGCTTCCAATGATTAACTGCTGATATGAAAAATGGAGGCTATTGTAACGGCAGTTCCAAAACGCAGCCTTTGCAGATTTTGCAATGACTCCTTTAGTGTTGGAATAGCAAGGAGAAATTCCAGGACAAGATCCCCCTTTCCTTATTAGACCAAACACAGAGCAGGAACCTACCCAACAATAATATTTGCCTTGTACCTAACTACTAATCAAACGTCTCACTTGGATTGTCGAATATTAATGTAATGTAAAATAATGCATGCTCCGTACCCTCGTTCCCATCGTTCCATTGGCAGCCCAGCGGTATTTATTTGTCCGTCGCGTGGTTCCTACTGCCTACCGGTACGTGGTGAGTTGTCGCAAAAAGTCATGCATAGTGGTTCCACTACAGACACGGTGATTAGAACTTGGTACACCAGGATACGGTGCTTGTTCGCTTGCAGTAGGTGCAAACCCATGTCTGTTGTTTGTTTGTTTGTTTGTTTGTTTGTTTGTTTGTTTGTTTGTTACCGTACGTCGAAAGAGATGCCAAACGAAAGTTTTGTATTGTCGTTTCGTTCTTGTTATGCATTCTCCTCGTTGTATTCGTTTGCAAACGTTTCTTCGCATTGTTTACATACTATGCGTCGACCTCCACCGCAATCCTTCCTTGCCGGGTCGGTACTTTTCTCGCAATTCGGGCACTTTACTGACGACATGTTCATCGTACGGTCGCTGTTCGTAGTCAATATGGACAAAACAACGTTCGACTTCTTCTCGCGATTCAATTTCGTACTGGAGTTCCATTCCCAAATCGTGCGATTCAAAGAGAAGCGTATTCTTGGGCAATACGACTTCGAGTTCGACCAAGAACTTTGGTCCGAAATGATAGGCGCGACAAACGTCGACCAACATGCGTTCGTCAAAATGATTGGCAATTTCGAGTAATTCTTCAATGAAATCTTCCGGAGCGGATTTTCCCGTGAGTTGTTCGATTTGTTCCTTTCCCGTTTCGAACCAACTCCAAATAATGTAGAGTGAAATCAAAATGGCACCGACGGGATCGAGAAACCACAATTGTTCGGCTTTGAGTGCGGCCAAGAGGGCGGCTGCGGCGACAGCATTGGACAAGGCATCATTCCAGTGATCTTGTGCCAATGCCTCCAAAGTCGGATCGGACATTTGAATGGCGGCTCTGGAAGATCCAATCGTGGTCGATTCCATGACGGTTCCCGTGTGTTGACTTTCACTGTCCATACTCACATTGTTGGGGTTGGCATGATGGTTGTTGGTAATGGTGTTGGTCGTGGTACTCTGATTACTGGTGGTGTTGGTTTCGGCGGCTCGTTGACAGAGTAGGAGCAATAGCAATTTGACAATGACAATGGCCGACATGCTCCAGAAACTGACCATGCTCAATCCTTCGCCAGCTGTATCGTCTCCTTGCAAAAATGGATTGGCCCAATTAATGAGTGCCATGACGGATTCCTTCAAGACTTCAAAGGATCCCATTCCCATTAGTGCGGCACACGTCAGCACACCAATGGGTTCCAATCGCGAGGCACCAGCGGGATAAAATGCCGACGATCGCTGCAACGACGAATGCTTTTCGGTATAGTTCAAGACAAACTGAGAGACCACATCCAAGACAGAGTCCAACAAGGCGGCCAACACGGACAGCGAAAACGTTTGCAAGTACGCCACAAGTTTCGTCACGGTAATGAACAGATTGACATACAGCGACACTTCCAAGGCGACACGACGCAGTGGGATTTTGGTCAAGGCGTCCAAATGGTTGCGCAAAATGTCGCGTTGGGTCGAACTCTTCGATTTCGATTTTTTCTTGTCTTCAAAGGCATCCTCCTCGGCGCTCATTCGAGGAGGAGGAGAAGAAGAAGAAGTCAGCAACGAGTCTTTCTCGTCGCCCGTGCTGCCATAGCCTTGTTCCAGGAGAGACGGCTCGGGGTCTCCGTGGAGTTGTTGCTCTTCTTGGACCGTCATCTTGTACAGAACACGAAAGGTGAAGAACACTACCGTATCAGGTTTGGCTTGAACGATTACTCGATGTTGCTGAAGTTGCTACTCGAAGCTAGCTAGCTAGAGCGTCGACTGAGCACAACACGGGAAAAGAAATGAGAGGCCGATGTGGTTGGAGTCTCCCCAACGGCAACACCAGCAACAAAGTGGGCAAACGGATGCTTTGAGAGGTGACGAGATCAAAGGTAGTACCGTGGGTTCTACGGTAAAAGCTGACGCTGCGCCACTCCAGTTCTGTGGTGTTCTTGCTTTGCGCAAAGACACACACGCACAATGATGTCGTGTGTGGTGTCAATTCGGCGATGAAGATTCACCGTAGATTCTTCGTCCATGCTAATAAAACAGGTAAGCTGCAAAGCCTTTCCAGGAATGTTGCATTTGCAACCTTCTCCAACATGTTGGAAGCTCCGTTCTTGTACTGTACGATGGACGTTGGAGCTGCAGTCTTGCATTTGAGCAAACTTTACTACAGTACTTGACGATGTAACCAAGGTTGAATTTGCAATTGAGTAAACTTGAGGGAAGCCTACAATGCTGGTGCTTGTATGTGTACTTTCGTCCTCACCAGCCTCGATACGTCTTTGGTTTTGTGCCGTCCCACCAGCCAGCCAGAAGGAAGCAAAGTCAAGTGCTTGTGTTGCTTGCCAGCCAGCCAGGAGAGACAACAATGCAATAGGGGTGCGCCTCTGGGAGTACGGTAACTGACTGTTGGTAGAACCTCCAGCCCAACAAACAATGTCATGTTCGTTGTGACCTGGTTCTATGCCTACGATGTACCCGCCCGTAGTCAAAAATGTTGGTGCACAGTGTGCGTTGGTGCACACCAACACTTTTGAACAATCGATATCGTAGAGCAATGGGCAATGGTTTACAAAAACAAAAAGTCTCAGAAACAGCATAAATGTGAATCACATTCCCATTCTGGTGGTGCAGGGGCTTAGATGCTGGTTGCATCCCTTGTTGCGAACGAATATGTACCTGGTACCGGTAGGCATTTTCTGGGCAGATCGTTCGCAATTCAAGCCAAGATGGTACGTACGTAGTAGCTCAGCTTTGATAGAGCGAATTCTGGGTTCATGAGGAGCGAATCGGGCGCCCAGCAGAAGGAAACCTGGAAGCGAGGAAGACAAGAAGTGAGGTCCTCGCTGGTTTGCTCTTGGCTGCACTTTGCTCTGGGGGGGGCGGGGCTTTTGACCTTGCCCGCCTCCTGTTCCAAAGCTCTGAAGCCACCACTCCAACAGCTAGACACCCAAAAAAAAGCCAGCCACATGCATGTTTCGAACCAAATTTTGCGAAGGGTCCTGACACTCTCATGCAAAAATGAAAAGGGCTTAGCTTCCTCGACCCTTTTGGATTTGTGGGTTCTCATGTTCTCATCGTCGAACTATCTAGCTAGCTAGCTAGACTTGCTTCTGAGCTTCATGCTGGTGCTGCCTAGTACGGTATCGGTAGCTACAGTAGCTAGCACCTTGTTTCTTTGTCCTGGCCTTCTTTTTCGTTGGGTTTGACAGTTAGTTTGACACCCATACCGGATACCGGTATCCACCATTGGTGACATTGTATGCTTCGGTCTTCTTGATGAGAGCGAGCTGATTGAATGCTCTCAAAGACCCCACGGTACCAGTACAGTACAGAATGTCTGGTTGGTAGCTGAACACTTCCGGGAGACGGATCTCAGGTGCCGTACGATGGTATTGCATATTGCATGCCGCTATGAAGTGATTGAATGTTTCATGTTCTCAAAGACCCCAATGGTACAGGCAGAATGGCTGGTAGCTAAACGCTTCCGGGAGACGGATCTCAGATTTGCCTCTACACGAATGAGCCATCACAAACATCAAACTCTGATTGGGAAAACCGAATACCCCTGGCATCAAGGAGTCACAGCCACAAAGTATCAAGACAACTTGGCATCAAAGTCAAAGCCTTTCCTACGGTACCGATGCTTCGGAAAGTGGCCAGGTTTGGCTACCGTAGCCAGCTGCCAGGTGGCTGCGCCCCTCTTCGATTGATGTTTGAGTCGATTGCTGGCTTGGATAGCTCCCTGATTTACAAGCGTCTAGCTAGCTACAATAGTTAGACGGATTGGATGGTTCCAACTAAGTGCAAGGAAGGCAGCACGGGAATAGAGAGGGTTCCCTTGCTGCCAGGTATGGTACCTGGTAGTTGTTGCCTGGATCGCAATATGTGGGAAGCAACGCCTTTGGCTGTGACTTACTCAGCCAGTTGCCTGCATCTCTAGCTGGACCTATCCTAGTAGTCTAGCCAATCCCGACTGACAGGGTTTGCAATCATACCAGTAGATAGCTACTTGTAGTTTGTCCCTTGACATACGGTAGCTTTGACGGAGAACTGGATCACACTGATATCATCTACGTTGGCCAGCGGATGGCATCGAATCATCATGGTAGGAAACAGAATAATTGTGTCAACGAGTGATGTCCACGAAAGACAAAGTAGTGTTTTCTCGATTTGAGAAGCAGTGATCGGATACTCCTGTACTGGTAGATCGGACTTGCTTTACTAGACTAGCTACCGTAGTGGTGCTGTGGTGTTGAACTACTGCTACGTGGCTTCATCGTTCAGTAAACATAGCTCATCAACATTGGATTGATTCGATTGAAAGGAAGGGATGTAATCAAAATTACTATTATAGTATAGCATGGGCCTATTTAAATCTGTATATCTATGTGTAGTTGCCAGCCAATATGACAGCTGCAGCAGCCGGAGAAATATAGCTGCAGTGACAGCCAAGACTTGTGTGTGTTTGTTTGTAGTGTTCAAACTTGCAATCGCCGCAGTGCCTGTTCGACATCTTGCGCCGTTGCTTGTTTTTCGGACTGTTCCGTTCGATCTTCCAGCACGAATCCCGGCAAGAAGGATGGCTTTGGTGGCTGTTGTTGTGAGTTGTGTCGTCGTCGTCGATGATGATGTCGTGGCAGTAATCCGTAGGGGTGTGCGGACAAGGAGGAACATCTTCGATGCTTGTGTCGTTTTTGTCGAGGCAAAAAGGAAAGGGACGTGGCAGTATCGTCGCTCGTAGTAGTAGTGGGAACGTGTAAAAAGCCAAAGAAACCTCCGGGACGTTTGTTGTTCCCAGGTGTCTCTTCTTCGTCGAGAGGAACGAGAATATCAACAAAGTGTCCCCAAGGAGAAGAAGGTGCGGTGGTTTGGCCGTGCTGTGCGGTTGGACTGTGGAAACTGTCCATGACGTCTGCGCTGGGAGAAGGAGAGAGACAGTGTAGTGCGTCTGTGCTGTCTTGTGCAGTGCCTTGCTCTGACGATGACGCGAGACCGACGAGACAGACACTGGGTCCCTTTCGTCGCAGACTCGACTTGCAGGAAGCGTTTGAAGCGAGAGAGTTGCTGCTGTTGGTCGTCGTTCCGACTATCGACTGTTGTGACGCAAAGGAAGACGAAGACTGATGACCTTCCTCAAAGGAAACCTTGCGGGGAGCAGCACTCCACAGATTGGAAGAAGGAGGACTGGCATGGTGGGCTGGTTCCGATGATGGGTGAGACGGATGATGGCGAGCCCGAGTGCGGCGCGAAGAAGGAACTACTTTGGGCATTCTGTACTATTGTGGTGGTTGCGGTGCTGTTGTGGTTGTCGCTGTTGGAGCGCTGAAACTATGTGCTCTCTGCTGTGGTGGAAAGACAAGAGTGGAGATGGTCGATCAATCCAATCTGAGACTTGCAATGCGGAAGCAAGCAACAGACTTGACTACTTGTCTTCGTTGACACAACTAACTGGTGATGTGAATCGAGACGCTCGTTGTGAGGCGAATCAAGAAGCCTCCTGCTGTGATGCCTTGTGGACGACTCCTACACTTTGTCGAAAGACTGATGATGTCTGTCTGAGACTTGATGGCCTTTACTGCCCGACACACGACAGTGTAAACCTCTTGATTGACGCTTGTTGATGTGATTGCGGGTGATGCTCCCACTCGGAATGAACGACTCGACTCGATGCCTTTATCAATACGTTAGTAGTAGTAGCACAGGCAACAGTCTCGACACAACTCACTCACCATGCTTCTTTTAGCTTGTTTCTCGGCATGATTGCGATCGATCGATCCCTCCTATGAAGCTTCTCGTTCTGTCTGTCACACTCCTTCTGTCAGAGGAATTTAAGAGAACATGCCAGACAACAGCTTCGGTTTCAATGACACCCGTTGCCATGACGCGACGAGGAGGCAGTGATTGCGCTCTTCTCTTCGGACGACACCACTCAAAATTACCCCAATCTTAACGTAGAGCAAGTGTGCTTCTCAAACCAAAAGTCACAGACACCTACCTACCGAGCACCGGACTACCAAGCTGCCAGTACGGTACCGTACCGCTATGTCATACTGGTATGTTCATGTAGAGCTACATGTGGTAAGGTACCGGTACTCGAGTATCATTTCTCCAAGCTTTAATAAAAAAGTTCTATGATGTTGCAGCTCTTCCGGTTTTTACCTTGCTACCGGTAAGCCCTCTAACAGTGCCGGTACGGTAGATCTGCACTTGAGTGGCACCAATTGCAGCCTGCTTCTTCCTACCTTTCCTCTTGGCCGGATATTTGCTTAAAGGGCAAGTCCCGGTTTGGATTTAGAGGACCGTTGGTGCGGCCGCCACTCTGAGAACAAGTTTTGACCATAGACAAGCGGTACTAGTTGTTAATCCTTTATATATTGGTCCGGCTTGCACACCGGATCGATCAAGAGCAGCCAACAGCCAACAGCCACCACCACCACAAGCAACACCACCACCACCTCTATAGGTCAAGCAACCATGGCGTTCACTCGTCGACAACTTCCTCCAGCTCTCTTACGTTGTCTCCTTCGTCAGCAAAGAGAACTTGTTCATCGTCTTCTGCAGCTTCCCGTTCACTGTCGTCGTCGAGTGTTGCAGGCGGGGGTTGAATGACAATGGGAACCATCACCTTCTTTCTTGCCTTGTCTACAAGAATATTGTCTCCGTGCCCTGCAACGATGAGACGCAAGACCTTGTCCCATCGTTTAAAGATGTTTCGAAAGGATCGATAGGAGTCATAATTTTCCCATGCCTCCAGCACGGTTCTTGCCAGAGCATTGGCACTTGTCTTTGTCCTGGTCCGATGGAGTTTTTCAACATAATTCTGAAGGCCCATCCAAACACCCAGGTCAAGAAGATTCGTCTCTGGACTTCTTGGAACTTGATGTAGCACAACAACGTTGTGCTTTGCCTTGAGTTCTTTGACGTACTCATCAATGCAGTCTTTGGTGCCGTGACCACCTGCATTGTCCATGACGAGATAGATTGCTTGTTCAGCATTGACCCAATGGTAAGCTTTCCGGATTGCCTCCCCAATCTGGAGCATGTGCTGTGCCATGAATTTTGAATCACAGGTTACGTCTTTCTCATACTCATCTCCTTTTACACGAACAAATTGCAAGTGGATGTGCTTCAATTCAATACCAAGTCTCTCTTTCCCCTTTTCGAACAGTCCTATCTTGGCTAAAACCTTCTCCGTCTCCGTCATGGTGACCCATTTCTTCTTCCCAGTGAGCTGATGATATACTGCGTGTCGAAGAACGAGGCGATCTCTTGTTGGTTGGTCTATGCACCACTGCGATCGAGCTTGAATTTTGTCGAGGAGTGCTCCAACTGTCATGTGATTTTCATGGAGACTCCTCCAATCACGGTGGATCTCTTGATTGATTTGGTAGCTGTCGACTATCTGTTTGTAGTGTGTGCTTTTCTTGGCTACAACTGTCTCACTCACTCTTTGCAAAAGTATTTTTCCATCGAAATCATGCTCGAAGTGTGGACAAGCCATTACTCCCATGAACATCACCTTTTTCACGAATCGCCGACTTGCTTCCCGTCGTGGTGGATAGAGCTCCTCAGTACTTGATGCTTCACCAGGCTGTTGTGGAAGTCTCTTTATCTTTCTCCTCCTGGAGTTCATATAGAACCATTTCTCGTCAAGGAAAACATAGTATGGCGGGCCAGGATGTGGCTCTCTGAAGTTGTCGATTTCTTCGGAATCCGAATCGGAGTCACTCTCTTCTGCCACCGCCGCTGCTGCTCCGTCAAGATAATGCTGCTCCAGCTCTCTCAGCCGTGCCTGAGCCCACAACACTCTCTGTTGCTTCTTTTCCTCGGTAAGGATTGGTCTGCTTACGGATTTGATTGACTTGCCTTTGTGTTTCTTAAACCACTCTGTGAGCTGCCACCCACTAAGCTTCAGGCGCTTGGTTTCATCGGGATCATTTTCTGTCATCCGACGCATTGAAAATGCTGTGTCATAAAACGATGCCTCATCGCCGACTTCTTCGGCTGCTTGCACTCTCCTGAAAATGCTGAGAATGTAACCAGGATGGGCTGTTTCAACCTCATCAACGTAAGAGCCACCTTGATTGCCTTCTTTGTAAGTCATCACATCATGTATCAGCACTTCTCCAGTCTTGAGTGATTGCTCCATGGAGTGACACCAAAAAGTAAGTCGATGGCCTTTTGGTGGTTTCCGGTACCCCTTGTCATACGCTACCAACCGACAGGCCGCTTCAGCAATGGAAAGCTTTATCTTTTGAGGCAGTCTGGGAGTGCTGTATCCCCACGACAGTGCCACACACAAGGCTATCCACCGCATTGACTTATCAGGGCGTCGTCTGCTGGTCTCCAATTCTATGGTTCCTTCGCCATATCTTGACGGCCTCTTTCCATTCTCTCTTCTGGTGTAATCGAGTTGCTTGGCCAGTGTCATCTCCGGGGGCTCTTTCCAGTCTGCCGGTTTAATGAGTTCTGCAATCATGGACGGACTGAATGGGTTGAATGCTTGTTGGTCGTCAAGAGATGCCTCCATCTCACTATTATCCTCTTCTTCACTATTTGTAGGCGACAGTTCTGGAAATCGCAAGAGCGTGTTGTCCTCGCTATCTGTTCGGTAGGTTGGAGTGAGGATTGCTTCTACACCCTCTTCCTCTACGTGCATACCGGTATCATTGGCATTGGCTTGTTGCTCAACACGTGGGACAACGATAGACGTGGTGAAAGAAATGCGTCTTCTTGGATTGTCCAGAGGCGTCTCGGTTGCCGCTTGTGTGGCATGTCGCTTGGCTGGTATTCCAGGTGATTCGGCAGATGAGTATGCAGCAGTCCAACAGTCGATTGCATCTTGCAGCTTGCTCACTCGTTGGATAGTCTCACAACCTCGCTGAATGTAGTGTATGGGGCTCCGCTTGTGGTGGAATCTTTTCAGAGAGTTGCGTGCGTCCCCAAGCACCACGGCGTTGTTGTATATGACAGTTGGGTTTGGTTCTGTACTCCTCGGCTTATTGCGAATGACAAACAGCAGACGGCGTTGTTCGCCATTGTGAAGAGTAACATCATGTACTCTGAAAGATACTTTCGAAGCTTTAAATCTAGAATTCAACGCCGCGATTGAATGCTCGTCACAAATAGCTATTTTGTTGTGTGTTTCCTCGGTAATACCTGTCGCTAGCATCATATGTTTGAATGTAGTATAGTCAAGCTCAAGGACAGTGCAGATCGAGTTGTTGGCAGAGGCCATATCTTCCGTTATAGGAAGCAGAAACCATCGTCGATTGTGGAGCCTCCGAAAGAGTTGCTCTAGTAAAGCGAACGTATGGTTGGCTACAAGCTGTTGCGGCTCCATTGTCGGCTACCGGTGACTACTACCAGTACTAGTTGCAATTCAGTGATTGTATCAACGGCATTGACTCTAATAGTTGATTACAGCTACAGGAGCGAAGAATGGGCTACCGGTTACTACTCAAAGGCACGCTTAACACTCTGCTCTGCAAACCTGAGAGCCTCTCCAAACAGGGTAGCTGCGTCTCCATATGGAATTCGGAGAGTGATCTGAGTAAAGCCTCCATTTGGTGGCACATTCATGGTCAACTTGAGAGCTCTGGTACCAGCAATGCTCCTCACTCGTTTCGGACGACCCATCTCATACGGAGAATCCGTAGGCAAACAGAAGATAGCAGTAGGGTGAGTGGTGTCATTGGCAGCAAATACAACCAAACGAAAAAGGATGGAGTTGCTGAAACGTTCGAGCTTGACAATGCCGGAAAGGCTCTGGATAGTTCCATCTCCGCGGGTGACTTCCAATGCAGCCAGAGTTTGACCGGCTTCCTCTCCAAGGAGAGTTGCGACAGTGTGCCAACGTTGTGCCATGATGAAAGAAAATGAGAGGTTAACACGAGGATTCTTGCAATCCCTCCAATTTGAATTCAAATTCTTCCCTCGGTTTTGAGGAGAAGCCACTCCGCTCGACCAGCCAAAGAACCAAGGCATTGAGCTCATAAAAATTAACAAGCAGCATCATGCCAACCGTTTACAGCAGTAGCAACTCTCACATCACTGTCTCGGGTGCGACCGAAGAGATCAAGATGGCGGGCCTGAAGGAGAGTGATTTGAAGAAACTCAACAAGGCCATCAACGAGGCGATTGAGCTTGGAAAAACTCAGGATGCAAGGATGGAGGCTGTCTTCACCGTGATCCTCGATGATGCAACCGTTCAGCAGATTGTTAACTTCCTCGCGACCGAACACATGGATGTGGCGAAAGTGGTGGAGGCAACCTCCGAGGTAATCATTCTCAAGACCAAAGCTAACTTTGTTGTGACTCTCCGCTTTCATAGCACCAAGAAGCACCTTGATTTGCCGAAGGCTCCTGCCTCAGTTCCTTCAGCTGTTGTCAATCAAGATGAAACAATCTTGTCCGCTCCTCCTAGCCGCCGTGGACGCAATGGACGCAATCGCCGTCAACCACCACCCCCACGCTCTTCATTCTCACTCTCTGATGACTCTTTCGAAGTTGAGCCAGAGTTGTCCCAGCAGATGACGCCTCTTAAGAAGATCGCGATGAAGAAAATCATGATGAAGAACGCTTGAAACAGCGGCAAAACGACGGCATCTGTGTCATGGTGAGGTCCTTTGTTGGTTTGTGCTTTTCTTTTTGGTTGGAGTGTGAGTGCTCGAAGACGCCAGGCCTCCACCAAAATAAAAGTAGCAATACAAAATCTAAAGTCAATTTATTTAGTCTATGGTCAAAACTTGAAAGAGTGTCTTGCGTTGCGCATTTTGCCATCGTTGTATTTGAGTACCGGTACTTAAATCTTGCTCTCTCAGCCCAAGGGTGGTGCCTCTAAGAAAATATCCGGCCAAGAGGAAAGGTATGCATATGTCATAGTGGTACTTCTTTGAGTTTCTACGGCAATGAGCCTTCATGGTACCTACTCGTAAGAAAACAACATTGAGGTGTCTGTTTAAAAGTTTAAAGTTTCTGGTACCGTATCGGTATGGTACCAGTATCACTATTAATTTTTATGGCTGGTTCCATCAAGTGTGGCTTCCTGTCAAATTCTCCACTACGATGTACTAGTATAACAACCAGCTCTTCTGTCTTGTTGCTAATCACACAGGTAGAAGGAGGAATTATGACGCATCATTCTTTGATGCAACGTGGTGACACCAAATTTCAAATTCTCCGAATGAGATGAGAGCTTTGACGCACTGACGTAGAAGCAAATCAGCCAATAGCTTTTCCCCATCACACATTCTCTTCCTCTGCTGTCAATGACCAGAAGGTTGATTTCACTTAATCCCCGTCTTAGAAGGAGAACATTCTGCAGAACATTCGGAGGCAAAAGTTCTTCAATCCGCATTTTCGATTTGTCGACGAGGGGCTCTTCGCATGTCCAAATGATTACGAATGACTTGGCGCGTCATCGATTGGTAAAGGGCTCTTCAACGAGATCTGCACAAACTCATTCGACCTTCTGTGGTGTCAAGCTTGGCACGAACCATCGGTACCACCGGTACGGCAACAAAAAATGGCGCCTTTGAGAATGCCGAAGACATGCAGTCAACAAAAACGGATCTTTTTACAATTTCAAGGGACGCATTGGAATCTAGCTAGTAGCGCTAGCACAGGAGCGTCATGACATCATGATAGCATTGGAACCAAAATCGCCACGTTGGCAATGACTTGAAGCAATTAGCTCAATTTTCATCTCGCTGGGTGAGAACAAAGTCACCTGCATGAGAAGAAGCTTGCCAGTGGGTGCCAAGCAAAGGATGTGACATGGACTGATGATCCAGCCAGTAGTTTCTTCCAATGCCTTCTGCTTGATGTACGGTGAGGGGCTATAGGTGCGAAGACTGTAGTATGTTATTACAGCACCTAATGAGGCAGGAAGTCAGTAAAACCCCAGCCTTTTCCTCGAGCCATGTACTACCGTAGCCGAGACTTCCGTGGAGCCTTATCTGTTTGCTTTGTTCTCCGGTTGGTTGGCTGGCTGGGTGCCTCTAGCTACACGGCCGCTGCTGCGTCAACAGCACCAGACCCAGTGCCTGGCCCTGATGATCCAGACCAACACTCAAAAGAACACTGGCATCTTACCGTACGTACCCCAACCCACTACCAGTACAGCACCTAGCTTCTTCCCACGCAGCTGCATCAAACCCAGCCAGAGATTCACGAGGCCGACTCCAGAAGCAAGCAACCTTCTTCACCTGGATCAACAATGCTTGGGTGCATATATTCTTCTGGTTGAACACCTATATCCACACCAAGACCAACTGTCGCGCTTTCACCTGGCCCTACTCCAGGTCTCGCTCACGGATATGAAAGTAATCAAAGGTACTGGTACTAGCTAGCTAGGCGGAGCTTGGATCCTTGCAACGAGAGTGGATTGGTATTCGCATCCTTCTTCTTCTCTGGTGCTAAATATAAGCCAGTTAGGATGTCAGTCAGACATATAGTTTAGCGTTAAGGCGTTGGATCCCGAGAACAAGAAAAAGCCGACGAACGCAATTTCTGTTTGTGTCGTTCGGGATGAGCAAGATCCTCTTCTAAAACAAAGCTCGATCTCGATCTCATCCAGTCCATAGTACACGTACATGTAGCAGTAAGCGCAAGCAAGATGACAATAGCCCAACGAGTGTTTACATCCTTGTATCATCATGACAAGCAGGGAAAGGCTGAAGGTATCTGTCCTGCCACTGTCCCCCGGATTCTGGCCGTTTCGGCCATTAACAAGAACCAGCAGCGTATCTTTGAGCTGAGAGACCTGGATCGCAAGCTCTGTGAAGATCGCAAGACACCTTTGGAACATTTGCAACCGGGCAGTCTAGCCAAGAGTGTGAGTACCATACAGTACTTTGCGTATCTCATGATCATCCCAATCTGTCTGACTTTTTTGTTTTTTACTCTTTGGTTTTGGCTGATTTTTTAGACCTTTCGAATTGTGGTGACTCAGGGAAGCTTTGTCTTGTCAAACTATGCCAATGATCAACTCCAACAAGACATTGCTCGTGACAGGCTTGTCGCTGCAGGTGAAATGACACAAGAAGAGGCTGATGAAGCCGCCGAAGAATGGGAGCAGGTGGGTGACAGACAACAAGGCAACAAACAGCTCTTGTCTTCGTCTCTTTCTTTTCTTAGGCGTGTATTTGGCTGGTTGGTTGGTTGGTTGCAATGATGGAAACGCGTTTGATGTTTACAATCACTCCGTTGCTGAAAATCGATTGGTTTCGGCCATGAGAAGAATTCTTTCTGCAGAGCATCCTGTGTTTTGAGTTTATGCTTGAATTTTGTGAATCTTGTCTGTGTGTTTTTCTTTTGCATAGTACGGTACACCTCATTCATTTCTTCCTTTTCAATTCTATTTGCTGCTCTACTCAGAGAGAATGGAAGATCCGTTGGGAGACGTTTCCCAGCAAACTCACGGAAGCCTTGGTCAAATATCATGTCATTGTCTTGGTCATGCGTCTCTACGAACACATTGCTTCGACCATGGTGGACAAATTCACGCTCGATAGCTACACGTTGGATACCTTTAAACATTCCAAGCGAATCGATGCCAAAGAAAAGGACAATAGCATTCAAGTCGGACGTCAAATGTTCTCCGCCTGTTGGTCCGCCAATCTCATTGCCTTTTTGGCCGATTACAGCGTCCATCAAGTCATTCTAGGATATGGATATTATCGATACGTCCAACAGCGACGGAAAAAACGACAACTCTCCGAATTTGCCACGGATTCTTCGTCGAGTGCAAACGACAACAACGACAATGACGACGACGACCAAAAGCCACCCATTGCGAAACAATCTGCCGTCCTTGTCTTGTCAAGAACTCTTGGATTGACGTTTACTGCCACGGGAGGTGCCGTGGGATCCATGATCTTGCCCGGTTGGGGCACCCTGTTGGGATCCAATTTTGGTGACAGTCTTGGTGGAGTTGTGGCGGATGCAACCTCGGCGATGGTCGGATAAACGAAAGAGAAAAATAATCATGGCACAACTCTGACCAAAAACGCAATCTTCAAACAAACAGACCTTGGATGGCACCTTCCCTTTGTTTCAAAGCACTGCCAGCCTCTTGTCTCTTTTTGCAGTATAACCCCGCTCGGAAAGCGCTTCATTGATTCTGGACTTTTTTATCATCCTCTCAAACATAAAAATGCTCCCCCGTATGTTTGTACTAGTACATTCTGTTGCACCCAATCTGCTGTCTAGCTAGCCTCGTTTTGTTTCTCCCTACATGTAATAGTTTGCTGACGGGAAAGCGACGATGTACGTCTATTCGAGGAAGTCTCTCTTCGGTATGCGTTTGGCAATGCCCTCGAACGCAGCTTTGCTTTGTTCCTCGACCAACCCGGTCGTGCGATTTTTTGCAACGAGTGACTGTCACTCGACTTTAAGTGCACTTTACCAGGCACATTGAACGATGCACCGGTGGACGGACAACTGTAGGGCACTACAGTACATATTATTTGGTAGCGTCTGTTGTTACTGCGATTATCGTGTATGTGCAAAAAGATATCCACAGTAATACGTACAAATGTTCACACTCTCACGGACCGAAATCTCACGGCGTCGAGTGACAGTTGTCGATTTTAAAATTAATAATAATTGAGGTAGCCCCCTTTTCGGTCGTGCCATTGTCTCTTCCGTTTATCGATTTTCAAATCGTAGACCATCGTCGGCCTCGTATACACCTAGAACCTTGGCACCGTCGGCCCAGTACTTTTTGCCACCACCGGCAGATGACTTGCGTTCCCGAAGTGCCCATAGTTCGGTGCGGAAACTAGCTGGAATACGTTGGCAATGTTGACACAAGTGTCTACATTACGCAAACGAAACGAAAACGAGACAAGCCAGAGCAAGAGCGCAGACAGACAACGTGGTGAGCTCTGGTCCGGTTCGCACATCGAGGCGGCTTCGTTGGTGGTACACCGGAGTCGAGTCCTTTCGTCTTACATTGTTGCCATGTTTTGCGCCGCTTGATACAGCCCCAACAGTTTTGCTGGATAGTAGACCGATGCTCGAGCTCCTGATATGTCGAACACAAGAAAAGAGAGTGTTAGCAAAGTAATGCAACTAAACTCGCGGGGGAAACCATGCATCAAGGAATTAGTCCACGTACGATGACGGGGTGGCAAGCTGGTACAATGCCGACATCGAATTCCGACTTGTCCCAGTACAATGGGCTTGTTCCGTCCTTGTGCATTGGATTCTACATCCTCCGTCCGAGCTTCAAATAGTTCAATTTGTCTCCGTACCATACATTGGAAGGCCGAAAGACTGTCATCGTCACAAGTCATGTACAGTAGTGTAGGACTTCGTCCCGTCAAGAGTCCATTGTTGGCTTCCTTGTTGTTACTGTCTTGATTGGATTGTGCCGAGGACGCTTTGTGTTGCGGAGATGAGTCATTGCTGGTGGTATTGTTATTGTTGTTGTTGTTTCGTCGAGTATTGTTCCCACGGCCTTGATCTGACGAGGAATTGGTTCTGTTATTGTTTTGTTGTTGCTGCTGCTGTTGCCCGTTTGGTAGCCCCGCAAACGGCGCCCCCATTGGATTGTTGTTCATGGGGTATCCCATGTTACCCATTGGAAATTGTTGCATCCCTGGAGGCATATTCATGTTCATATTCATGCCCATGGCTGCTGGTCCAAACTGATTGGCCCATTGCATACCCATCATTGGCATGGGGTATCCTCCTGCTGCTGCTGCATTGGGAAAGTAAGGTCCTGGTGGCCCCATGAAATTGGGTGCTGGTGTTCCATATCCAGCAAAAGGACCTCCAGCACCTCCCATCATCATCATCTGCATCATGTTGGGATTGCCATTGTACATGGCAGGATTCATGGCCATGTTATTCATGTTGTTCATCATGTTGCTGCTCATCATGTTCTGTTGTTGCTGCTGTAGGAGTTGCTGAGCCCCATTGTTTCCCATGAACGGATTTTGCTGTGATTGTTCTTCATTACTTTCTGTTTGGTCTTGTTCATCCTCGTCTCCTTCATCATCCTCGCCATTACTAGTAGTATCAACATTGCCGTCTTGCTCATCTTCCTGATCCGTCTCTACAAAATGCATGATGTTTGGAGACAAACAGGCAAACATGTACCGCAGTAAAAAGTCAAGATTGTTGGATCAGATATCGATACTGTAATCAATCACTAGAAACATGGCACCACATCAAATTCAGTGCAGTATATAACGATTTGACTTACCTGATTTCCTCTCTTCTCTGGGGGAATCAGGGGGCGAATCCTCGTCTTCAGTACTAGACGCATCACCCCGTCGTTTCTTGCGCGGCGAAGGTGTATCGTCTTTGGGAGCTTCGAATTCGTCCTTCACCTCAACGTTGTCAACGGCATCGAAACTTCGTTTGGTGGCAGCAGTGTCCATGGTTGCTACGTTCGTTTGTTTTATGCTACCAATGATTGTTTTTCTAATGTCCCTCTCGAAGAAAAATTATGATAATGTGATGGTGGCGCTACCTGTATGGATTGCCTACCGTACCGTACGAGATTGATGCGGCTCGAAGATAGATAGATTGATGAGAGATGAGACGCGCCCACAGAAGGCCGCAGTTGACGATGGAAGCAATAATCGTCGCTACGTTAATAGGCACGATACCAGTTACGTTGGTAAAAAGATTGAGTTTTTGTTATTGTTTTATTATTGAGTTACTGTTATTGTTTTATGAGCTGTTTTATGAAGCTGTTCTATTTTAAAATAGCGATGTTGTGTTATTGCGAATTGCGAATTGCTGGGGTACTCTATCTATACTGAAATATTTGCGAAATTGCGAATGGGAGCAGGGATCCGGAGTCCGGAGTCCGGAGATGGCGAAAGGCGATACTATTAATAGCTACTACCGTAGTAGCTATTATTAAAATAGTACACCACCTTGTGACCACTGAGCTCCTCTGTTCCCATCCCCAACCCCCAACCCCCAACCACCCAACCGCACCTCCATAAAAACACTATTATAAAGGACACCGGAGGTGTAATAGATATACCGGGCGAGCTGAATTAAAAGATGGGCCGGCATAATAATATTGTTAAAGTTTGGCTGAAGGTAGTGTCATTAGATTTTTCCGTCTGAGAAAGTGGCGTGGTATCTTACGGGAGTTTAGAGGTGTGCAACATGAGACGTAAGATTTTTCCATCTGAGAAAATGGCGTGGTAGCTTAACGGAGTTTTAGGAGTGTTGCCAAGTCGTGAGACGTAAGATTTTTCCGTCTGAGAAGTGGCGTGGTAGCTTACGGGAGTTTAGAGGTGTGCAACGTGAGATAGATTATTTTTCCATCTGAGAAAAGGGCATGGGGTAGCTTACGGAGTTTAGAGTGTGCAAGGCAGTCATTAGATTTTTCCTCTGAGAAAGTGGCGTGGTAGCTTACGGGAGTTTAGAGGTGTGCAAGTGAGCATTAATTTTTCCATCTGAGAAGTGGCGTGGTAGCTTCGGGAGTTTAGAGGTGTGCAATCGTGAGGAAAATATTAGGATCCGTTGCTACCGTATCATTATTATGAGAATGCGTGAGAAAGAGGGGGTTGAAGTAAATCTCTAACCCTAAGGATAACCAACCAACCAAATACCACCACCACCACAATAAACGGGGTCAGAGATCACCGGGGTCTGCCCGGTATATTTATTAATACTCAGTACTACCCTCGTAAGTGAGTACTACCTATTGCCCTGTTGGATTTAAAGGGCAAGCAATTATGCTTTGCATGCTTAATTAAAAGTACTTCTGAGTAGAGTAAATAAATGAACTTACATTAATCTCCGATAATCTAAATAATGGACATAATCATTGTTTAAAACAAGGCTTCCCTTCAAAGTATAATAAATCTTCTCAAAAGCAAAGGGATATCGGACGTATGCAGGCTACGTACGCATACATAATATCTGGTGCCTGTCGTCGTCGGGTAGAGAACGCTGTACCAGATTCGTGTACGCTGTACGGTACCTGGTACTACTCTATTTTAATAAAATAGTACACTGATTATAAAAACTTCAACAATGTAACAATGTAACAGGAGGGCGTTGAAAAGGGGTTTTAATTGACAAGAAACTTACTTTCACTAAAAATCTAATTAATTAAGCGAAAATGGTGGAATTAGACAAACTAGCTAGTCTACGGGTAGTTATTAATACACAATTTCCTAAATTGACAATGTAAAACTCACAGTTTCCGTAAAACTAAACTTTTATTTCCGACCGTGCTGCAGTGGCACCGGAAAGGTTGGATTGGGCTTGGCTAAAGGTTTCTTCACTTGAACACATGAACAAGGTTGGCTCCTTCTTCCAACTCCAGGACCAACACAAATAAATCTTGGCCACCCCCTGGCAGGCCCAGCTCCAGGTCCCACACCAGGACCAACCCATACCTGATCCCACATCCTGCAACTGGACCAACGTCAAGCCCTACTCCAGGACACAACCATTCCTGGACCAACGCTTGGACCAGTTCCTGGACCCACCCCAGGCAAAAACTTCTTCTGAGATCGCTGAAACTTTTGTATTAGCAAGTAGGTAATGCTGGACATCAAGTGCTTCTGTTGAGCATGCCTACAGTGTACCGGTACCGTTACCATCCCTGATGATAACGCAAGCTCTCCCAATGATTTGTTTCATCCGTAGTGTACAAATGCAAAATTTGGGTCCAAACATGGATGTGCAAGTCTTATTTTCTTTTTTAAATGGCCATCCACAGAGTCTCTTGCTTATTAGGTACTGGTATTGCTTTGACGCGTAGAACCAGGTTTGCTACTGTGTTGTTGTTTGGTTAAAGTTTGCTCAGTTTGTCCCACGCGACCTGTCCAATGGCAGCATCTTGTGCACCAGTGCCAGTCAAATCCACCACAATCAGTTCATCTCCTTCTCTTCCTGGTTTGTCCCCATTGACAACTTGCCCCAGTTCGGCATAAACGTCGGCTTCCGTCATGGCACCCGCTTCCAAAGCTCCTCGCAATTCTCCGACTTTGGATGTTTGTTTGGTCAAATCACTAATGTACTTGCTGGCAGCCAATACGTCATTGGGAATTTCCTGTTTGGAGGGTTGATCACTGCCCGAGGCAATAATGGTAGTTCCAGGTTGTAGCATACCCAATTCCAAAACGGTGCTGGATCCGGGAGTTTGTGTATAAATGCATTTGGATTTGGCGCACAATTCGTCGGCACTGGCCACGACTTCAAAGGGGACGCCCAATTCGGCACTCATTTCCGTGGCAAATTCTTCGGCACCGGCCACGGCATAGGCAAATCCCGTCATATCGGGTCGAACGGCAGCGGCTGCTCGGGCCATGTTGCGCGCAATGGCTCCACAACCAATAAATCCAACGGGCAAAGGTTGCGAGGCGTCGGTGGTGTACTTGAGCGAAATCCCTCCGGCCGCTCCGGTACGTAAATCCGTCATGAATCGATTTTCCTGCATCACGGCCAAGGGAGCTCCCGTCACGGCATCGACCACCACAAAGACACCGGATCCAGGTGGCAGTCCTTTTTCGACATTTTTGTAAAAGGATACGCAGGCCAATTTGACCGTAAACGTCTTGGTACCGGCCTGATACCCTCCCTTGATGTGACAATCGCCGGGTCCAGCTTCCGACGTTTCTTCAATTCCAATATGCATGGGCATGGGGACCTCCACTTTGCCCTGGGCCAACGCCGCAAAGGCCGCCTCCACGGATTCCAACGCATCCGTGACGGTCAAGTTGGATGTGACAGTTTCATAGTCGAAAAGACGGGGAGCGGGAAATGCCGAAGTGGCCAGGAAGCGACGACTGACGGCCCGGGAAGCAACTTGACGAGTGAGTGAAGTAAACATGGTTGTAATAGCTGTTGTAATACTTCCTGTTGCCCAACTAAAGATAATGATCACAGACTAAGGGCAAGTCGAAACAAGAGAACAATTTGTTCAAGATCCAAGCCACTCTGCAGGAAAAGTGGAAGGTTAAGAAGATCTGGAGATGCGTATCTTTTGTGTCAACACTACGTCAGTCTCTTCCACAGCAGGCGTGCTCGAAGCGTGGGAAAGAAGACTTTGCTACGAAGCTACCGGTACCAGGCTCAAATTTTCGAACTGGTTCTGGTAGCGGGAGGAGGAGGATCCTTCATGATGGATCAATCCAGAAACCCCAGCTAGCTAGACTTCTTGAAGTCTAGCTAGCCGTAGAGAGCTAGAACCAAGGTGGCATTCCAACCACTGCGCTACAGAGCACAATTCCACACACTCCTCGTTGCAAGTCGTAGCCTTCCATTCAGTGCAAATGGGTCTAGTGTTGGCAACACCTGCAGTGTTGGCCGCCGATGCAGCAATGGCTGGTGTATTGGGCGGTCTTGTAGTTGCTGTCGGTGCTGCCTTGGTTGCCTTTGTAAGAAGAGAACCCCCGGAGATGACGGAAGAGGTTCTTCTTGCGATACAGAGGATGAACGAGGAGCTACAGTCGGCCCGAGATGAATTTGACAGAGAGCTTCAGAGAACCCGGGATGAATTGGAGGCAACCACGAAGGAGCGCGACAAGGCATATCAAGATCTGGAAGATGCAAACAGCGAAAAGACTAGAGGAACGAAGGAAGCGAAAGCTGTTGAGGAGAAGTCAACTGGAGGTCAATCAGATTCTGGAACGAAGAAGAGTGAAGCTTCTCGTGCAGCTCTGCTTGAAAAGAGCTGGGGTCCTCGGCCAAGCCACCTTCCTGACGACGTTTTCAGCGTTGCATTCACTGGGAGAACTGGTACTGGCAAGACATCGCTATGGAACGAATATGTGAAACTGTTCTTCCTTCAACTGGTCCCAACGCAAAAGCAAAACTCTTACATCTCTTCGGTCCCCAGGGGAGAAGTTGGCATTGTTGAGACTACGAAAGATGCAATCTCCTACACGTTCCCCGAGACTTACTTCGCGATAGCTGATATCCCAGGACATGGCACTTCCAGCTTCCCGACGTCAGCATATGTTCGAGAGCTTTCCATTGGATACTATGATATGGTCCTTTATGTCTATGCTGATCGCCTCAATCGCACCGATGTTGACTTGATGCTGAACTACATCATGTATCAGATTCCCTTTCGCTTAGTCCGCCAGAAGTTTCATAAAGACCTCGTTGGATGTGCTGAGAACGAATTCCGAGTTACCAATGAGGTCACCGCCTTCAATGATCGAAGCAAGGAGATGGCTGAGTACGTCCAGACCCGAGTCAAGAATCAAGAATTCATTTCTAAGACGAAAAAGCGTCTTCATGAGGAACTCATAAAGAACTGGACCACGCTGCTTGATGCGGCACCCGCTTCTGTTGTGCAACTGCGCAAAGCAGACTTCATCAGCAAGATGAAAGACGCTTCCATTTTTTACTGCCTCGACTCGAATCATCCAGAAAAGTACGATTCTGTGGCCCTACTCGGAGACATCAAGGAAAGAATGATCGAAAGAGGTTCGAAGACCTCGTCCGTGAAAGAGCCCTAGTCGCTGCTGCAAGTCCTCAGAAGAAAAATGTGAAGGCATGCAAGTACCAGTGTTGGAGGCTATCAAATAAGTGTAGCAGGCTGGAAGTTTCGACGACAAGAACATGTCAATTGGGCTAGCCAGTGCAAAATGAACGAAATAGATGTTGAGTTATCGTCAAAGAAACGCAGAGTAGCATGATATGCTGTAGTCGTTGCTTCCAAGGCTTGACGTCGTTGCTCACTCTACTTTGACATGCGAGTTCCCTCCGCGACTCACTCCTGCCCGTTGCAGCCAAACATAGCAGCAACGGTTGAATGACCGCTTGGATTCATCACCTCTAACGTGCTGGCATCTTCCGATCAACGTCCTCCTCCTCACCATCGCCTGCATTGTCACCATTGCTCCCACTGCAATCTTCTGTACTTGCCTGGTCTCCTCTGTCGCTTTCATCTGGGTGGTCTTCTGGAAGAATGAAATAGACCTCCTCAAGTTCTTCTGGCCCAAGGTGTTCCTCGTCACCATCTTCATACCACACTGTGTACTTTGAACCATCAAAAGACATGATTTCACCCTGGAATGCATGACCTCCTGGGAATAGCTGTATGTGGCATAAGGCAGACCACAATCAGAAGCAGCAGCAGCTTGACCAAGACGGTGATTTGAACGTACCTTGAAGAAACGAGCGCCAATTGGATAGGAAGTATACTCCTCAGAGTCAGTTTGCTCTTGAGCAGCCTGAGTTTGAATCATGGCTTGCCCCCCTATTGGATTGGGGTCATGATCTTCATTCATTGCGATAGGCTGATGATGCAAGCTAGGATCCCAAAATCCAATGGAGTCAAGCAGCACTCTCCTGTGCGGTGACAAAGTTCCGCACCTGTCAGAACGTTCCTGTTGCTTAACCCAACCCTTTACCGGTGTGTAGGTACCTGATGTGGGAGGAAAGAAGCCATGTCTGTCTTTGTAAGCCGCCAACTTTTGAAGGTTTTCTTCCCAGCGTGCCTCAAGATCCTTGAGAGTACTCAAACTTTCCTCTTCTGGGTAAGAAGATTTGGTTTCATCCACCCGTCGTCGTTCCGAGGGGTGATGGCACAGGTTGGGGCATCCCCCAGTTCAATCCCAATGGAGCTCAGTTTCTGAGCATGTTCATGGGCAAGTTCACCGTTGCAAGCCTTATTCTTCTGACTCCATAGCCAGAACCAAAGATCTTGATTGTCGTGAGGAATCTCAAGGTATTTGTTTTCTTTTTTGAATTGAACAACTCTTTCAAATTGCTCTTCCCACGGAAGCCTTGTAGCATCCCAAATGAATCCTAGCTCATTGAGAAGCCTTTTCCGGTTTGGACGCATTCTATTTTGATGGGGAAAATGCCTCTGTTTGGCGACCCAGCGTGCAAAATTGGGGTCTTCCTTGTAGTAGTAGGGAACAACAGCGTGCGCCTTTTCATTCCTGAAATTGACAAGTCGGTTGTATTGGTCAAACCATGCCCTCTCCTTGCAGTTGGCATCAGAGTAATTTGCAAGAGAAGAAACGGTGTCCTCTGCAATGCCTTTCTCCGTTTCGGCATCAGCTGAATCCTGCGATGATTCCTCCATCTTGTCGTCTACCTCAGTATCATCAGCAGGGCACTTGCAAGCTGAGCCCATTATTGAGTACTCAAACCCAATATCATTCAGCAGCGTCTTTCTCCAGGGAAGCATCTTCAGTGTGTTTGCTTTAGTTCGCTGACACATGACCCAAGTACCCAGCGCCTCGCACCAGGGCTTCATTTCTTCGTTGTCCCATTTTCGGGGAAGTCTAGGGACTCTTGTGTGTCCAAAAATTGATTTGAATACTTTGAGACGCTCATATCTGGCTCTCCATCGTTGATCATGTCGCTCTTTGGGAGTCAAAAAGTCAAATCCGAGCATGGTCAGGCGGGTTCTTTGATCTTGGGTCAAGACTCTTGATCCCGACGCTGTTGGCAGACCCAACGAAACAAATTAGGGTCATGCTTGTAGTCTCTTGTTGGTATATTACACGTGCCATTTTCCTCCTTGTATCGAGCTAAACTCTCAAAGTGTTCTTCCCAGGATCGTTTGTTCGGGTTGGATCCAGGAGAAGCATGGCCTTGGTCAGCCATTCTCATCAGCTTTGTCTGTACGACAGCGAGACGTTCCACAACAGCAAACGCTTTTTTTAAAAATAAGCAGTACCTGTTATAGGCCGGTATTCATGACAGAGGCTATGATGCTATGATTGTAGAGTTCAGGTTGAGTACCAGTGTTCCAGTTATGCTGTGTTCCTGTGTACATCTACATGTATGCCATACTCACCCAGTATGAAACAGAAGGCTGAAACAGAAGGCTACCTATGGGAACAACCTAGATAGCTATCATAATTTATCTAAGCCACAAGTGTAAAGACACCTCCAGCAAACTTCGAAGTTAACGTTGAGGTGTGTCGTCGTTCATCGTCAACGAGCTGAGGCTCAAGTATTGTTCGACAAAGACAACGATCGTGCAACTTGTTGCCGTGTGTTGCCGTCGTCGCCATCGTCAACAACAAAGTCGATCAACGATACGAAGCCAATCCAGTCGTGGTTGAGTGACGTCACCGATCAAGTCACTGATCGTGAGTCCAGTCACACATCGATTGAGTCCAGTCGCAGTTTCGAGTCACAGCACGATTCGGAACTCCCTTTTAAGAAAGTCGAGTCACAGTCGGGAAACAACGTGAAGTCAAACGTCCCGTAACTCGAAGCAAGTCTAAGCCAAGTCAACGTCCAGTCAGTGAGGTAGTTCCTCAATAGGAGTCAACGTAAAGACATCCATCTAAGGTACAGACACAGATCTAAGGTACCATCAGCAAGTCCAGGTTAAGTTACCTGAGTGGCATCGTTTGTTTAAAGAAGCCGTGCCCAGTTCAGTAAGAGTAAAGGCGTAGAAGTGCGGAGCCAAGTAAAGTGCAAACATCCGCAGTAACGCAATCAAGTTAAGGTCCAACAGAGTGCACCGAAGGATCTCAAGTTACTTGAAGAAGTCAACAGCAACGTGAATGGCTGAGCAAGTCAATCCAGAAAGTAGGACGTGGCAGAGAAGTCGAGGTCGATTAAGAAGAATTGGTGTGACCAACCGAGAAGAAAACGTGCAAAGTGGTACGGAAGCGGGTCAAGTTGAAGAAGCCCCAAGTGAAACTCAAGTCGAGATTGAAGAACAAAACGACAGTATGTCTGAAACAGCCGACATTACGAAAGCAATAAACAAGCCCCCAACATTTGATGGAAGCCCGGAGAACTACATGATGTTTATGATGAGGCTCCGTTCCTACTGTGCTATCCATGGGTGTTCTGAGGCGCTGTCTAAGGAGAATGATCTACCCGAGAAAGAAGTTGAACAGTCCGGTGATACAAAAGAGCAGAAAGCTGCGAGAAAACGCAATCTACTAGCCATGTGGATTCTGCAAGTGTCCCTCACCAATGAGATGCTGTTCGGACTTATCTTTGCGGCCATTACAGTGAACTGGCCAAGTGGGCTAGCGTATCTAGTCATTGAAGGACTTGAAGAAAGATTCCGTCCCAAGGATACAGTCAGTCGAGTGGAACTCCGTTTGCAACTGTCGGCATTGTCCATGAAGAAGAAGGAAGATCCAGTTGTCCTATTCAACAGAGTCAGTGAAATCGAATGTCAATTCTGGGATCCAGTCAAGCAGACCAAGATCAACCAGTCAGAGCTCATATCAGCCGTCATTGCAGCAGCACCAGAGCAGTACCAGTCTATCATCACCGCAGAGCAGCATGTCAAAGGTGCCAACCTGAAACTGCAAGACCTATGTGATGTCATGCATCAGCACTGGAGAATGACGGAAGGAAAACGCGTGATGAGTCGAGCCAGACAGGACAGCAGTGATGACGAGAAGGAAATGCTATTGTCGTCCCAATGCAAGTTGGATGAAGGGTGCGAGAGATGTGGCAGACAAGGTCATGTCGAAGCAAACTGTTGGGACAATCCAATCAACAAGAAGAAGAAACCAAGTTGGTTTGTAGCTTCCTATGAGAGAGAAGCAACAGCAGAAGAAATCAGTGCAGGATATGAAATACTGAGTTAGGAAGAGTCCAATGCTGCCTACATTTCTAGAAGTCGAAGAGGGGAATGAAAGCAGAAGAGGGAATCCAAAGTGAATCTACAATATTACATGTCAAGAAGAAGAGTCAAAAGAAGAAGAGTGAGTGGTTCAGTCTAGTGGAGAAAACAGGGTGTTATAGGCGAGAGCAATCAAAGGAGAGCCAAAGGAGAGCAATCAAAGCCACTGGAAGAGGGTGTTATAGGCCGGTATTCATGACAGAGGCTATGATGCTATGATTGTAGAGTTCAGGTTGAGTACCAGTGTTCCAGTTATGCTGTGTTCCTGTGTACATCTACATGTATGCCATACTCACCCAGTATGAAACAGAAGGCTGAAACAGAAGGCTACCTATGGGAACAACCTAGATAGCTATCATAATTTATCTAAGCCACAAGTGTAAAGACACCTCCAGCAGTACCGCAGCTAGCTTATCATCGAACAGAATCGATACGGTAGCGGCAACATCTTGGCATCATTCCTTGCAGCAAAACCTGAGATGATTGTGGGCGATTCTTTCTGTGAATCGGGTTTACTATGGATTAGAGAGAGCTAAGATGAGGATGGAGACAGAGGTCAAGGGGGGCACGACGCAGGAACGCAAGGCAGGCAATCAAGTGCGCAACCAGGGCAACATGGAAACCAAGGATAGGGGTGAAGGCAGGAGGGCAGGGAGGAGCAAAGGAGCAAGACTAGCGGAAGAGATCGAGGGCACCACAGTCATC